GTCTTTAGAAAGTACATGGGAAATAAAACACAGGGGGTTCAATTCAAGGCAGAGTCATTGCCAAATTTGTGTCATCAGTGAGCCGCAATCAGATGTTCATGTTAGAGAGATCATGATGGTGTTTAATAAGAGGAGAATTGAGAGAGAAGTGAGGTTGGATTATAGTAATAAATAGCTTGGGGAAGTGGTAAAGAGGACCTTATTCGGGGAAGGGAAAGCAAAACTGGAATAAAATGCAGGAATGTGAGAAGTAATCAAGGGTTATATATAGATTAGGTTAGGGGTATGTGTGTTTGCTTGTGTTTGTACGTGCAAGTGTACTCAAGGGATGGGTGGGCAGGGGTAAGAGAAACAGATGAATGTAAGATGTTTTCCAGGCTTTCGCCAAAAGGGAGTTGAGGATCTGCTGTAAGAAGTGAGTGTGAGGTGCTCACATAGCCCCTTTCATGTTTTTCTTTCATGGCCACACCAGTTCTGCCCAGGAATGGAGACAGCCATTCAACTGTCACTAATTATGCTTTGGCCCCTCTGCCATGCAAAGCCGGGACATGAAGACATGTGCCATTGATCCTATAGCACTATCCTCCTCTGATTAACTCCATAGAGCTTTACACATTGAACATGTTTAAAAGTAATTAATGGAAAAAATAACCACATAAAAATACTGCTACGTAGATTCAAATATCAGAAAAAATATATATACACACACAACACATAGCTGTATGAGTTTAACTTTTAAATGTACTTGATTTTCAAAGTGAAAATGTTAAATCATGATAAAAACATTAAGGATTCCTGTGAAAAAGAAAAGAAGAAGTGAAATACCAAAAATACATACTTGGAAGTGCCAACTAATCCAGTAAGTAGAAAAAATTCACTATGCATTTACTTGAAAATGTGGCCCTGGAAAATGTTGCCATAGCTTTCTTTAACCATGAGAACAAAAATAAATATGCTTTAAAATGATTCCTGTTCTTTACCACTTCCACCTCCAATGAGATAAAGAATGTGAAATTGAAAGGGGAAAATATAGCTAAATGTGCTATTTTCACACACATAGTTATGATATAGAAAATATGTATAAACATGCCGGCACATACACAGCAGAATTCATAATAAAGTTGTGAGAAACCTTCTTATTCCCAGAAGAGGATTCTACTTGCAAGTTATTTCCTAGAAGAAAGCGGTGGCTCCTGGAATTGTGCCTGATGCCTTCCTTCAAAGACAGGGATGTTTGCTCTGTGTGTGTGCGTGCCCACGTGCATGCAGTCCAGTGCGAGTGAGTATGTATGTGTTCACTAAGAAAGAGAAAGAGATTTGTGAAAAAGTTGCTTCTAAAGTGTGAGAGCTACATAAATCCTTGTTTTTCACCTTATGGAGGAGATTGATTTTCATTTTCAAAATATGTGACTTTTGAGGCATCTGTTTTGGGGGCAGACTTCTTTACAGCTGCAGCAGAGAGTATGCTTGCCATTAGCCAGTTGCTCAGTCACTATCTCCATTTATAGTTGGGTTTTTTAAGTGTTCCAAGTAGGAACTCTGAGTTTTTGCTGATCCTGAGTCATCAAATAAAAGCTTTATTCTTTCTCTCTCATTCAGTTCCATCTATGCTCACATTTTTTAAGGTTGATATGATTTACTAGAAAAATATGACCCTCTTAACTGAGTATTTATTTTATAATTTCTTAATAAGTTTATTAATAAGAACACTGCATCTCTTCCTATTCGGTGCTATTGGGACCACCTTATGGTATAACAAGAAGTTCACCCTACCAAGACAAGAATATTTAGGTCGCTTAAATTACAAAAGTAAATTGCAAATCTTCCCCCTGAAAGACTTGTATTTAAAAAGGGGAAAAAAGAGCCCTGGCTGGTGTGGCTCAGTGAATTGAGTGCCAACCTATAAACCAAAGGGTCACCAGTTCGATTCCCAGTCAGGGCACCTATCTGGGTTGCAGGCCAGGTCCCCAGAAAGGGGCACATGAGAGGCAACCACACATTGATGTGTCTCCCCCTCTCCTTCTCTTTTCCTTCCCCTCTCTCCAAAAATAAACAAATAAAATCTTTTTTTTTAAATGGGAGGATAAAGAAACTCTTTTCAACAGCATCCTACAACTTAACAGAACTGAATCTAGAATTGCAAAGTCCCTAGGAAACTGCAGTTGTGACCAATGACACATGGGAAAGATAGCTATAACAGTCCAAATCCCATAAAAAAATTATGGCACACTGAAACTAGCTCCTCTCTTGGAGTTAATTTATAAAGGAATTCTGTACATAGGCCCATTTGAGTACAGAGAAGCCTTAGGAACAGAACAGTAATCTGAGACTGGCAGAGTCAGAATTGTCATCTCTTCTAGGCTGAAGGGGACCAGGAGAAAGAGCAGCTATTTGAACCAGGAAAGGTGTTCTAGTGGGGAAGTCCTAGAGAGGACCAGTACTAACCCTCCTTGGCAACTGGAAACTTGCCAGCAAACATGTGTCCCAAGGCTCTATTCAGTGTCAACAGGGGCATTATTGTTATCTTGGTTTTGACAGTGATGCATTTGGCCATCCACCCATTCAATGATAAAAGCATAGCCTAGTCACTGTGACAATAAAATATATTTCTCATTTCTAAGTTTTCCCTGGTTGGTGGTGATTTCCTATCTAGGCGACAACCACTGGAAATGAAATGTTAACCAAATGTCCCTGGGGATGTTTTCATCTTTATCTCTGGATCAATCTAGATCTCCAGAAAGCCCAGCCAAGGCTACCAAGGCTAAATATCTGTGATGGTGGGGGCAAGAGAGCTGCAACATTCACAGCCCCACGTCCACCTAGCAGGCAGGATGGGGAAAAGAGAAAAATAGGAAGGGATGGTGCTTATGTCAGGTGAGCCCTGTTTTTCACAAAAATGTTTAGTGCACATCTCATTGGCCAGAACCATGCCACACAGCAGCTTCTACTTACAAAGCAGTCTTGGGAAGTATTTTAAGTGGGCACATTGCTCCCCTAAACAAAATTGAAGTTCTTTGAGTAATGAAAAAGGGGGAGTGTTATGATGAGGAAGCAATTAGTAGCATCAACTCTACGTGTCTACTATCTCTTGTGGCTTGGTGTGGGTAAATGAAATAGAGTAATATAAAGTGTTGCATCCTGTCTTCCTATACATACTATAATTTGCCTGGAAGTTATCAAACAACAGAATTAGAGTGTGGTCACTTATTTGTTATATTAACAAATCTTATCAGGATTAAAATTTTGTACCATTTGCATATTTGCCCATTCCTAACAGACTAACGCTTGAGGACAAAGTTTTAGATCTCCAAGTTTTCCCTAAGCCTTTACTTGTCTTCCATCATAATTATAGCCTCCTGTACTTCAGAAGTAAGGCATTTTCACCTTTGTGTCATTAAGATATTCCTATGACATTCAGGAAGTATATTTTTGTGTGTGATGCCAAGATATGGTTATATTTCATTTTATTTGTTCAATTACATCTTACATTCAATATTGGTGTACAGCACAGTGGTCACAGTGGTTAAATATTTATATAACTTACAAGTGACCCCCCAATAAGTCTAGTACTCATATATTCTTTATGCTGTACTTTACATCTCCATGACTATTTTTGTAAGTAAAAATTTGTACTTCACCTTCTTTACGGACACCCCCAATTTCCCTCCCATCTGCTATCCATCAATCTGTTCTCTGTATTATGAGTCCATTTCTGTTTTGTTTGTTTTGTTCTTTAGATTCCACCTATAAGTGGAAACAGACTGTGTTTGTTTCTCTGATTTGTTTCGCTTAGCATATACCAACTAGGTCTGTTCCTGTTTTTGCATATGGTAAGATTTCATTATTTTTCATGGCCAAATAACATTCCATTATGTAGTAAGTAATTCTGAGTTGAACAAATGAATGCAACCAACCTCAGGAAGATATTAAAGGAGGAGGAGGCTGCACTTGAGTTATCTTTGGTAAATTACTCATTGACAAGAATCTTTGGTCTAAAATTTAGCATCTATTGGTTGTGCTGTTGTGTTTGTTTCTCTCAACCCCCCTCTTTTCTTTTTTTATTCCCTCTGATGGGTCCTCCATTTTTCTTTTTCTAGCACCTCCTTTTAGCACTAGGTGACTAAGTCTTTGGCTAGTTTGACCGAGAGCATGGCATTCCATTTATTTTCTTTTTACATTAAAAAAAATTGCCAAATCTAATGTCACGAATCTTCCTCCTTATGCTTGTTAACACTATTATAGTTTGCACTATTATATTTAAGCTGTTTTTCCTCCTTTGAATGGTCTTGGCACCTTTGTCAAAAATTAATTTAACATGCATTCAAGGGTTTATGTCTGGATTCTCTATTCTATTCCATTGGTTTACTTTTCTGCCTTTATGCCACTATCACACTATTTTGATTATTATAGTTGTATAAGTTTTGAGATTGGGCATTTTGAAATCTCCAATTTTCCTTTTCTTTTTCAAGGTTTTTTTTCTTTTGGCTATTCAGAGTCTCTTGAAATTGCATATGAATTTTAGGGTGGATTTTTCTGTTTTTGCAAAAAAGATGCTGTATTGACTTTGAAAAGAATAGTATTAAATCTGTAGACCACTCTAGGTATTATTAGCATCTTAACTGTATTGAAATCTTCCAACCCCTAAACACAAGTATCTTTCTATTTATATGTCTTCTTTAATTTATTTCAGCCACGTTTTGTACTTTCCAGTGTACACGTCTTTCACTTCTTCAGTTAAATTTATTCCTAAGTATTTTTATCCTAATGTTATTATAAATGGAATTGTTTCCTTGATTTCTTTTACGGATTGTTCATTGGTAGTACACAAACATAACTGATCTTTGTGTTAGTCTCTGAAGTCTCAGAAGGCAGAAACCATGCTGGATTTGTATTTTGTAGAGTTAATACAAAAATAATAGTTGGCAGTTTTTAATTTAAAAAAAAATTTCATTAGCAGTAATCTCTGTCCTTTTCTTTTTTCCGTCTCTCCTCCATTTTAGGGCTCTACTGGTATTACAGCCTCTCCTCCAGTCTCCACCCCTGTCACAGGGCACAAGAGAATGGTCATACCAAACCAGCCCCCACTAACAGCAACCAAAAAGTCGACCCTGAAACCACAACCTGCCCCTCAGGCTGGACCCATTCCCGTGACTCCGATTGGAACACTGAAACCCCAGCCTCAGCCTGTCCCAGCCTCCTACACTACGGCATCCACCCCATCGAGGCCTACCTTCAATGTACAAGTGAAGTCAGCCCAGCCCAGCTCGCATTACATGGCTGCCCCTTCACCAGGACAGTTTTATGGCCCGGGGCCAGGGCACCAGAGCTATAACACTCAACCAGTGCCTGTGTCTGGGCAGTGTCCACCTCCTTCTACACGGGGAGCCATGGATTACACATATATTCCACCACCAGGACTTCAGCCTGAGCCTGGGTATGGGTATGGTCCTAACCAAGGGCGCTATTATGAAGCCTATTGCCCAGCGGGGCCTGCATATGGGGGCAAAAATGATTCTGATCCTGCCTATGGTCAACAAGGTCACCCCAATGCCTGGAAGCGGGAACAAGGGTACACTCCCTCTGGGTCAGGAAACCAGCACCCTGCTGGCATGTATCCGGTTGCTGGTCCCAAGAAGACATATATCACAGATCCTGTTCCAGCCCCCTCTGCACCACCACTGCAACCAAAGGTAAGAAACTCATAAATACAATGGTGGGAATAAAGGACTGCCTGTTCAGCTTGCCTTCCCCAGAAAGCAGAGCCTAAGGCAAAAGTGTATATGCTGCTTTTATTGCATTAGAAAGTAGAATCCCGAGGAAGCCTGAGTGCCATAGAAAAAGAGGGAGATCCTACGGGGGATAGGGAGTCATGCTATGGATATGGTTATTGTTTATTACCAAGTGCATCTACGTGTTCAATCTTGAAAGATCGTCTTCCAAAAGAGCGTATGAACTGTAGCAGCTCAGGATAATCATTTTGTGGTGGGAAAAGGGAAGATAATTTATCTTCCAGCTCTTTCTCTTCTTTGACCAAGGTTCTCTGTGAGTCAGAGACTTCCTCACGCCTAGGCTTTGCATTTACTTGGGCACCAAATAGTTCTGTAGCTTCTCATGCCCCACAGGGACAGGACATCATCACATCTGGAGGTGAGAGGAACACAGGGCAGCCATGAGTCGAGCTGCTGTCAGGTAGGGTGTATGTGACGGTGGTTAGAACTCAAGCCAAGTTGGTACCACAGTGGCTGCTAGGACATGAGTGGCCAACAGCCCAGGAGACAGGTGAGGCGAAGGGCTGTAAGGTAATGCAAACACCTTGTCTAGTTTCCTTTGGAAGAGGCTGCTGCAGTAAAATGAAACTTGTTTATCGCCCTTGTCAATCCACATTATTGATCCTCTAAGAAGAATCTTACTCTCTAGTTTTTAAACCTATTAGACAATTTTTTAAAGTTTTTTTGAGTTTTTTTTTTCATTGTTTGATTTACTTGCAAGCATGTATGTCTTTTAAGTCAATGCGTTCAATTACTTCCCTTTCAATGGCTAATGATATTACACATGCCTACTCAGTTACAACTTGATTTTCCATGAGTATTTGAACCAGCATGACGTTTCCTTTCACCAGGACAAGAAGAACCAAAGAGAATTACTTGGAAGGGGTGAGATAGATACACCACGCTGGTTTCCAGCCCTTGGGTTGGAACGAAGCTCTCCCTTCCTTTCATTTAAAGCTGTGAGAATCAGTCATCAAAAATAGTTAGAATATGGTATCTTTGAGAGATGAATTGAAGGTCTCTATATATTTTTAATACTATATATATTTTTAATATATAAAAGGTCTATATATATTAACACGTTTGACATTGTCAGTGTACAGACAATCGATCACATTTTCAAAATGTAACAGAAATCTGTCAGGTCCTTGCTCTGCGGGCAGTGTGTTTATTAAACCATTATTTTAAGATGAAAGTGTCTGCTCTATTAACGGTGCTCCAAAATGAATTTTGGGCTCTTTAGAGGAAAAGAAGCCTTCCAGAAAGTGGGGGCACTTATGAATCCCCATTACTGGAAACTGGGCCAGCCATGATCATTTTCCAACATAAAGTTCCCAGGTTTAAACGTTGTGTTTTTGAAACATTGCTCTTAGAAAGCCTTTCTTTCTACAATCTCTTTATGAAAATAAATGTTAGGTTTGTTTGCTTGTTTTAAATAACGTTTGTCCAAAATAGCCAGTCTGTATATGCTCACCTTTTGTTAACATTACAGTGTTTTTGCATTAGTCCTTCCAGTCCCCAAAGAAGCAATCTAGAAAAAAAATTGGGTTGTTCAACTTTACTTCACTTTGGTGCAAGTGCAGTAACTTCTCTCATGGATGGTTACAAGCTTTGGTTAGGATAACTGACATTAACACCTAGCTCAAATAGGTGTGCAGTTTTGCTCCATCCAAAGCCTCCTGTTAGAATGGCTGCATGGTGATCCTAATGGAAAGAGGGGCCCTGAGTTGTGTAAGGACCCTGTATCAGCCCACCTGGGGAAACAGACATGAGACAGAGCAGAATGTCTAGGTGGAGGGAATAATCTTGTGAGAAGTACTGAGCCAGGCACTGGGTTTCTTTTTTTCCCAAGTGTCACTGGGCACATTGAACAATCCCTCCTCATTTTAACACTGAACTGACCCAGTGGTGTAGGAAAACAGTTAGCACCCAGTGCAAGACCTGAATCTAACATGTTGGGTTCAGCCGCATCACTAGCATTTGGTGTTCACCACCTTACTCAGTGTAATGGAAGAAACTTTTATTAACCACTTTCCAGAAAGCATGACACTTCATTTCTCTTCTTTTTGTAACTGTTCATGATGATCCATTACATTATTATGGATTCTGGGTATCAGTGAATTTGATGTCATTTAAAAAATTTTTTTGAAATATTTGGTCTTCAACAGTATCATGTGTTTGAAAATCACATTGTGCATTTTAAAAATGAAAATCAAGCTGGTACATCTCTCTATGATTATTAAGGAGAGTGGTTCGAGGGTGATATTTAGCCATCTGTCAGTGTTTGGGGAAAGGGGAGAGTGGCTGATGAGGCTACAGATATGATCTGTGTGGCGGGGGCACTGGCGAATGAAGGGACCGGCTTTTTCACAGTTAGTCTTTCAGCAGAACACTGCTGTACTCAACTGCACCTGTGTACAGAGGACCTTATTGTCCCAGTATTGACTCTGCTTTGCTTAGTGATGTGACTACTGGCTTGAGAAATGAGCTCCTATGTCGAATCCCACTTCCTCCCGTGGCATTTCACTTAAAACTTGAGGAAAGACTCTAGACCTCTTTATGTCACGCTTCTGGCCTCAGCAAGGCGGAACATCATCTTCTCTAATTAATGAATGATTGCAAATGGCTTGGAAATTTCCAAAGGTGGAATAATTGCCAAGTGAGGAATGTTTTTACTGGCTTTCCTTTATTTCCAAACTTTAGTCCCTGATGGAAAACTTACCTTCATACCTTAAAACAATGATCTTTTGTTACCTTGAGACATTCTGAGGAATTTGACATTTAACCCATTAAGGAAAAAAAGTTTTTAAATGAAAGAAGTAAATCTCCCCTATATTTGAGATGAATTGCTTTAATTTTCCCACATCATAGTACAATTTAAAAGAAGATGAAAAAGGAGGGAAGCAGCAAAAAAAAAAAAAAAAGGAAAGAAGGAAAAGAAAAAAGAGAAGAAGAAAATGAAGAAAGGAAGGAGATAAAATCAGACCCTGCAAGTCTGGGAGATCGTGGTTGTATTTGTGTTCCTATAACGTGCTGAGCAGTGAATTTGCATGCCACAGTGGGCCATAATGTGTTTCCTGTACCATCTGAGCTGAGTTCCTTGAAAAATATTGTTATAAGCAAGTCTTTGTAAAGGAGAAATGTTCCCTTTCTACTGAAAATCCTCTTAAAGAAACAGTGGGATCTTTCCTCTTTGCTGTTTTACAAAAGCTAACATCTGCGTGTTGTTGTGTAGTTCACTGAACTCCCGTCCTGCGCACTATCTTCATACCCCCGTGCAGTGGGATGTGTGTTTTCTCTCATATTCAGATAAAGCCAGTCATCACTCTCAGGTCCAGAGTGGCAGGGCAGCTCTGGCATTCACTTCTTTGTCGTAAACCCTATCTGTGTCAGCCTCTGGGCAGGGAAAGAGACAGCTGTTTGCCCTGTACTGTGTGAAAGGCATTGAAGCTCTGCATCCCTGGAAAGGTATGAAGGTCCACCTAGTGTGGGGGTTAGATTAAATTCTAAAATCTTCTATGATTAAAAAATTTCCTTGAAAAATCCTTCAGGAAGACGAGTCCTTGGATAACAACAAACTACCTTTCAATAAACCTAGAAAAGTTGTTATCTCTTTCAGAGTTAGAACAGGTCACTGCTCTTCATTTAGTTTTTGAAACTAGGGATATTTAGTAAGCCGAGAAGAGAGCCAAGGTAATGAAATGCTGGGAGCCAGTGTTGAAGGGTCCCTCAAACCTGTAATTTGTTAAGATTAAGAATATATTTGAGAGTATTGATATAGTAGCATTTCAAACATTCAAGAAATATCAAAATGTTCCTTTTTTATTGTGGAAAACAGAAGGACATAGATTTTGATTTTGGGTGCATTGCAAAGAATTGGTGGTATTTTGGAGAGAACTATCTTTATGTAATCCCTGTGCTAACGCTCTCTCAATTCCAGGATTAGAGAAACAGAGGAAGAGATGCTAGGATGAGGAGAAAGATGGATGTGGACATATGCCTCAGGGCTGTTGACAATACCCAGACGTGCGTGAAGATAGGAATGCTTGAGAGAGCTGGTGACAGTAATATTAGTTATTCTTTTTGTGCAGGACTTTTTCCATTTCCATAGTCCTTTGTGGACCTCACCAAATCCATGTGATTAAGCACAGACGTTTCTCTCTCTCATAATGTTGAGGGCTCAGAAGCTCAGTAATGAGAGTCATTCACTCACAGGCGTATGTCAAATTTATGGGAGAGCCACAGCTCCAAGCCAGGTCTTCTGAAGATTGTCCTCATGCTTTTCCCCTGGGAAACGGTGGATCTTGGCATCACCAGCCACTGGCTGTGGCTCCACTGAGGCCCATGTCACAAGCAGATGTCTGAGTGGTCTCGGGCAGTTGTGGTGCAGTGTCATGAGATCAACAGTTGGAGGGGAAGCACCCATTAAATCCCTCCCAGGCACCCAGGCCTGAGGTCTTGGAGTTATACTTCCTCTTCCTCATTACCCATGCATAATTTGTCCCAAGTTTCTTTCTAATTTCACAATATCTGAAATCTACTTTCTTATCTCAATCCCCCTTGAGGTGGCCCTAATTCAGTTGTCCTCATTTCTCATCTGCACCATTGGAATGTCCTCTTAATGGATGTCTCTACCTCTAATCTCTCTCTACACCTGTTCCTTCTACACAGGCTACCAGATTAATCTTTCTGCCATACAGTTCCACCCTTGTCATTAATTGTCTTTAAAAAAAAAATAAACCTTCTGAAGTTTTTAGCCACTTGTGGAGTGGATTGAAACTTCTGCCTGGATTTCCACTCTTATCTTACTTTTTTAAGCATCTGGGCTTCCAGCTAAGAACTTATATTCCTAGTTATTTCTCATCTCTCTAATTTTGGTTATGGAGGGTTTTTTTTTCCCTTTCTGGAATGCCTTCCCATGC